GGGGCACACCATAATAGAGATTAACCTAGGGTACCCCCAAATCTAGTTTTCTCACCGGTTTTAGGCCACTTATTTTTCACCCCTCGGCTTTTTCAACAAAAAAAGAAAACATTTGCAAAAAAAGTGTGGTATTCCGTCTCAAAGCTGTGGGGGCACCGCCCCCACGGCCCCAGAGTTGGGGGGCAAGCTGCCCCCACTGCCCCCCCCCCGGCTCCCGCGCCTATGCTCACTAATCACAGCTTATTGAAGTTCTAAAAATAAAAAAATTTAGTCGAGTATTGTGTTAGATGTGCGTAACTACATCGCTGCATTGCCCGCAAATAGCGACCAGCTGATAGCCACGTATCAGCATTTGTGCTCGGAGCAACTTATTAACTCTGAATTATTATTATGTTTCTCTTTTTTCATTTTGTCGTAAATTACTGTCAGCTGTATTGTGTTACATTACATCTTTGGACTCTCATCGTCGCTGATCCACTCTGTATCTCCCAACATTTCTTGAAGAGAATCTCTTCCGTTTGTACTTTTTCCATCAATTTTCCCTAATTTCCCACCCTTTACAGTAGGCACAGTTCCGTTTGCGTTTTTACGATAGGCGTTATCACAGGTGTATTCGCGGCCATTGGGGCGACGTAAGAAAAGAAAACAACTGGCCCCAAGAACTTTAAATTATCAGTTAGCATGCACCTTTTCCTTGATATGTAGATAATTTACCATTAATTGTTAGAGAAAATTGCATTTAAAATCTCCCATTTATGCTTTTTTCATCGTTTGCACAATATGTTCTTTTACTAAGCTAGAAACACTAATTAGAAATAGCTCCCGCATCATCGTCAAGAACAATAGGGAAGGCTTGAAGTGAATACAATAATCTAAACGGTTTTGTAATCTATGTGAAGACACTTCTAAAATTGCCTGTAGAAATAGTGATAACAAAAGTTCAACTTTTTCACAAGACGGATGTCTATAAACCTATTCAACGTGTGACAACTCAGCCGGTATTTCGTCGCCTACGGCCAGCTTTCCCTAGTGACCGATAGAGGCGCTGCTATCGATGTCCGGCTCGCCCCTACTGAAAGGACCTACTGATTGCTGAACTGCGGACGTTGAACATTTTCATGTCCCTATTTCGCGCAGTCCACTCTAACTCCCCCTCCCCCTCCCCCAGTCGATTCACTGTGTGCCGTCCGCAAGACTTATCTGACGACCCCGCTCCCTCTGTTTGCTCGCAGGCGGAGGTGGGTGCCTTCTGGCGCCACCTCATGCGGATCGACCTAGAGAACGAGGCGGAGCGGTCGTCGCTGCAGATGGCGCCACCGGGGCTGGTGAGCGACCTCACACTGCGCCAGCGTGAGGAGGAAAACCAAGCCCCGGATTACCCACCTGCACTCCATGACGAGCCGGTCGCGGGGACTGCAGGAACAACAGCTCCGGACATGACGAACAGCTGGACCGTGAGCTAGATCTGTGGCTCGTGTGGTGGCCGGCTGCACACGATCAACCCCGGCAGCGCCGCTCATGGCAGAGGCCGGACTACCAGTCACCCAGGTCAGGCGAGGTACTCTGGTCACCAGGATGCTGTGACTGGCGAGATCGCTACCCGAAGACGACCCACTGCGAGTGATCGCCGACCAGAATCCCCTCCCCGACTGAAGTCGACCACTGGATGGAGACGCCTGGGAAGTTATCCCCGACTATGAGCGGGGCGGCTAGCCGGGACGCCCCTCCCCGCCACGATCCGCCGCCGGACCGCCGAGAAGCACTTCACCACCCTTCCAGCAGACGCTACCTGGATCTGGAGCGATAGCTCAGCGGAGAGCGGGCACGACGAATGACGGCGGCGGCGGTGCCCTCCTACCGCTTAGGAGCGGGGAGACCCGGCAGATCAGGGTTGCCGCAGGGCGCCTGTGCTCTAGTACCCGCGACGAACTATGCGCTGTCAAGGTGGCGCTAGAGGTCAGCAGCCTGTCAGGTGCCCAGACAGAAGGACCCGTCGTTCTGTGCACCGACTCCCAGGTGGCGCTGTCCCTGCTGGCCGGAGGTGCGGGATCGCAAACCACTCCGATAGGCGCGGCGATCTGGGCCCTGCTGCTCAGCATCTCCGCCAGAGACCAAGAGGTGATGCTGCAGTGGGTACCAGCGCACTGCGGTCTCCCCGGAAACGAGAAGGCGGATGAGCTGGCAAGGGAAGCAGCCGGCCTCCATCAGGAGGCGCCAGCGGATGTCCGCACCATCACAGGCGCCGTGGCCAGGACGGCTGCAGGGGCATGGCGCAAGTCATGGCCGGACTCTTTCTTACGGTGAATCTGGGGAGACCGCATCTGGTCTCCGGCGTGAACAGGAGCAAGGCGGTGGATGTCCACCAGTTGCGGGCCGGTCACTAGGGAATGGCCCGTCAGTACCTTCACTGCATTGGCCGCCTCCCGACGACCTCGTACCCCGGGAACCATGAGAAGGACTGCCCAGCGGCACGGCGCATGGTACGCAAAGAAGAGGCGGACACCCCGGAGCACGTGCTGCTCCGGTGTCCGAGTCTCGCCGATCTCCGTCTTCGGATGTTCGGCAACATCCACGTGGAGCCTGCGCATCTGCGCGACGGCAACGTCGTCACGGGCTTGGCACGCGGCTTCAGGCGCCATCTGGAGCCGCTGGCTGACGGGCGACCTTGACGTCGCCCGGGAAGAACAACAACAACAACAACAACAACAACAACAACAACAACAACAACAACAACAGCGACATCCGGCAGCTGGCGCCACCCTCGGTGGAGCTCACCGCTGGCACAGATGACAGCGACGTCGCTCACAAGGCTCGGCTGTCCGTCAGTGCGTGTATTTCAAACCGACGGACTTCTGTTTCACATCTCCTGCTGGTGTTGGATCTGATGATACGATGTTACTAGGACTTACCGTCACTGATTCGTCGGTAATAGGTTCTCAGGAACCCTAAATTAGCAGCGCTTTTATCGTGGCGCGTCTATTCTCAAGCCGTGGACGTGTTTTCTGTACAACTCACACCTGGTCTGTATAGCCAGATCAGTACGTTGCACGTTTGCCGCGTAGCTGCACCTCGTCGACTGTTTGTGCTGTAAATGTCTCTCGTTAACTGCTGGTGGTAGGGATGACTTTAGTCGCCCTGAAGCTGACCTCAAGGAAGGTGTTTGTACCGTCAATTGTCCCTGCCATGTGTGGACACTGCAGCCGTCTACTTTTCGCTGCCATCGCCGTGTCGTCGTCCGAGCGAACGTTTGAGACAATCGCTTCATATTGATCTGGAACGCTTCGTTGTTCGTCATTTCGCATTCGATCACTGTTAAAGTCAATGTAAAAGTGTGGTTCTTCTCGATCATTCAAGAATGTGCTCCTGGTGTTTTCCGTGTGTGCATACCACCGATCTACGTTAAGCGCAAAAAAATGATAGACGGAATGTCGAAAGATAAGTCGCCTTTATCTTCATAAATAACGTGATGTTGGCACCTCAGCGGTTCCTTTGGACCCGCGAGACCTGGGCACTGGGCGAGCGGTTGGTGTGTAGATTGTTGAGTGTTATGGCTGGCGAATAAAGGTCGAAAAACAATGGAATGTTTGGTCTGATGCAGTTGGAACACAACACGGAGGCGAAAAGTCGTGTAACGCCCAATGGCGACGTATGAAGAGATCTCGCGTGGCTCGTATTAGAGTGCCTAGAACCGCAAAGCGGAGAAAATTAGGTTAAAAAATCCACTTAATTTGCCCTTTCCTGCGGCTGGAGTAAGTTCCCGTTTTTGAGCTCAGGCCCGGTCGGTCGGTCGGTAAGGCATTCGCCACGAACGAAAGTGGGCGGAGCCTAAAAGGTACTAAAACTGAGATCGGGATAAGGCACTTTCAGGTGCCCCAACGGGTTTACCCAAGTGGCCGAGTGGTTAGCGTGACGTCAGCATGCATTTTAGACTTTCGAAGGTTTTGGGTTCGAGACCCGGAAACAGCCGTGATTGCGGTAAAATTTTCCGTCCTAAACGGGCCTCGAACCCAAAACCTTCGAAAGTGTAAAATGCATGCTGACGTCACGCTATCCACTCGGCCACCAGGGTAAACCCGTTGGGGCGCCTGGAAGTGCATTGTACCGATCTCCGATTAGGGCAGTTTAGGCCCCGCCCACTATTCTCTGTCGTCAGCCCAGCCCGTGTGACGTCACATCCACTGCTGCCGTCGACTGTTTGGCTCTGTACGCGGGTCCCGCGGTCTCCCGAACCGAACCGTCTGACCACCGCCAAAAAGATTTCCCACGGGCGACTTGCAGGACACTTCGATTAAAGACACGTAATCGGAGCCGTACTTGGTATTTTATTGAGAATAGACAAAACATACCATGAGCACATTCAAAAGTGTTCTTCGTAAGCGAGGGGGTATTCAGATGAAAGTCGACCAGCCACGTAGCTGGGGAAGGGGGGAAGGGGGGAGGGTTGCCTCGGGCCGGATTCGATTGATGAGTGCTGCCTCGCCGGGTGGCGGACGGGGCGGCGCCGGCGGCAGTCGGCCCCTGGCAGCTAGACCGGCCCGCCGAGCAGATTGACCCCGGCGATGACCTCTGATGGCCGCGGGCGGTGACATCCGCCGATCTGGGTCGTCTGGAAGCGAGTGGAGATTGGTAAGGGGTGGGTTTGCAGTTTACTGAAGGGAGGGGGAGGGACAAGAGAGGGAGGGAGGGTGCCACGGACTGACGGATTAACAACAGCAGAGGGGCCGGGGGAGGGGCTGTGATGCTGTACAGGGGACGGAGCGTGCCTGACGCTAAGGGGCTCCGAAACAGAGGGATAGACGAAATCACTTGGTAGTTTAGTCACATTTAAAAAGTAAATATCGCAGCGAGCAGAACGAAAACACGTACACACTGTTCGCAGCGCGCCAGATGCCGGCAAAGGCGAGATATAGGTGACAGACACATAATCGGATCTCTCTTTCTCTTCCTCTCTCTCTCTCTCTCTCTCTCTCTCTCTCTCTCTCTCTCTCTCTCTCTCTCTCTCTCTCTCTCTCTCTCTCTCTCTCTCTCTCTCTTTCTCTCTCTCTCTCTCTCTCTCTCTCTCTCTCTCTCTCTCTCTCTCTCTCTCTCTTTCTCTCTCCTCTCTCCTCCCACTGCCTCTTAATTCATGACACTCTGAGTTCTGACAAATCGCACAATGGAACGTCACTGACGCAGTCTCCCAGCTCCAAAAGATAACTCACAGCTCATAACTCACCGATGATTGTTCTCAACGCACTGCACAATGCATAATGCACGACTCTCATCCATCCATTTTAAAACATCAGTGATGAGCCAGTATGACTATAGTGGCTCTAACGAGGGTTACCGTATCAATCTTCCATCCCTTTACAATCATCACTGTCACTGTCACTGCCATTGCTGCTCTTACAGTCATAAAAACATCAACTTTATGTCGATGTCCTTATTTATCCCACAAAGCGCCACGGAATTATTAGTTGTCCGCAAATAACTCGTCACCCGGCTGATAAGATCAATAGAGACACCTTTAGGTACGCAGTGTTCGGAACCGCAGGGAAGAGCCTAGGTAAGGCGTTCTATAGAGCCTTGGTTAGGCGTACACTTCTGTTGGTAAATCTGGCTGTAAATTCATAAAACGCCGCCAGACGGTTCAAGTGCTTTGGCGCCGGCCATAAGTTAACGGTGCTGCCATCTATGTCTGCGCCAGCGCGGCGGTGAGCTCCACCGAGGGCGGCTGGAGGGCGCTGGCCAGCCCCGGTGGCGCCATCTGCAGCGGCGAGCGCTCCGCCTTGTTCTGTAGGTCGATCCGCACTCCGGACTGGACCAGAAGGGGCGCCACCTCCGCCTGCCTGCGGACAAACAAAGGGAGCGGGGGTCGTCAGACAATGGGCATTTGTTTATTCGAACATTTATAAGATCAACTTACAGCGAGACCCATGCACTGAGCGACATGGACAAGCGTGTGCTGATGGTTACAACCAACTTTCCGGAGATATGCACAAGATTGGACTTTGAACAATGCTCAATAGCAATCAGAACCTGATCAGTCCAGCAAGAACTGAATAAATAAAGAAATACGCTTTACCGTATTTTCACATGACTGTTCTTTAACGTTAGATCATTAAACCATACATACAGGGTGTTGCAGATAAATTGGGACTAAGTTCATGACCTTACAAAAAAATTTGGTATGCGGAGGAACATCATGGAAATTTGACACAATATAATTTCAACAATTGTTTTTCATTTGATATTGAAATTTTAATCCTAACATATCGCGCAGTCATGGAGCAGCGTCGGAGGGAAACGATTGGTGAGTTAGTTCGCGCCGGACAGAGTGCGAAGGACATAATAAGTTTAACTGGGTACCCAAAGTCTACCGTGTACCGACCTATCGCGACTGTAGGAGCTGGAGGGGATGTCGCTCGACGTTCTCACACACCTCGCAGTGACCGAAAACGGACACCAACATTCCTGAGCGGCTTGAAACGCTCGATACAGGCCAAGACGAGGACCTCGATGAACAAGCTTGCGCGTGCCCGTCACGTGAGCAAGAGCACCATCAGCAGAGCCGTGAGAGAGGACCTCGGGATGAAGTCGTTTACCAGAAAACGACGAAGCCTCCTGACCGAACCAGCAAGAGCGATACTAAGGGAGAAGGCACCGAAGGTCCTCAGTCTCCTCAAGCACCTCGGGAGTGACGTCAGAGTATTTGTCGATGAGAAAAAGTTCATCGTAGAAGAGGTCGCCAACCGCAGGAACTCGCGGGCGATCGCCTACAGCCCTGATGAAGTGGCTCCCGTGATGAAAGGAAAAAATCCGGCATCAGTAATGGTGTTCGGGGCCGTCGCAAGTGATGGCCGCATAATGCCGCCCCATTTCATGCCTGCTGGTGTGATGATCGACACTGACGCGTATTTGACCATCCTGAAGGAGTCTCTCATCCCCTGGATGATGAAATACTATGACTTGAGCAAAGTCATGCTGGTGCAAGACTCTGCCCCAGCACATGCTTCCCAGAGGGTGCAAGATTTCCTGAGCCAGAGGATCCCCCTATATGTACCCAAGGACATATGGCCCTCCAACTCGCCTGACTTGGATCCATGCGACTTTTGGATGTGGGGCGTGGTAGAACAAAAGTCCAACTCGACCACTCCTGCCAACGTTTCTGACCTGAAGAAGGCCATCAGGAAGGCAGTCAGCACCATTGACCAGGACGAGGCCCGGCGCGCGTGCTCCGCTTTCCGGCGCCGTCTCGAGAGGGTGCGGGACGCCGACGGCGGTCACATCGAGTGACAAGGCTGTGCGTACATGACACAATACACGTGCGAACTTTCAGCTTTCTGTGTTTTCATTCACCGTATTAATAGCATGTTGAAATTAGGTCTGAAAATTCCCAATTTACCTGCAACACCCTGTATATTACATGCTACCTATGTTAACATAGGTGCACAAACATCTATTCTGTGAAATGAAAATAAAATCGTCTCAAAGCTTCCACGACCTACTTACGGAACCAGGAGAGGCGCAATCGCGGGACTCCGCTCTAAAGAGCAGCTCTCTGGCGGACACTGCAGCTCTCAGGAGCAGCAGCTCTCTGGCGGATACTGCAGCTCTCTGGCGGATACTGCAGCTGCTCTCAGCCCTCAGGAGCAGCTCTCTGGCGGACACTGCAGCTCTCAGGAGCAGCAGCTCTCTGGCGGACACTGCAGCTCTCAGGAGCAGCAGCTCTCTGGCGGATACTGCAGCTCTCAGGAGCAGCTCTCTGGCGGACACTGCAGAGTGACGACGATCGGGTGGTTTCCTTCTGGTAAGGCGGCTCGTCAGCTCACAGTCTGAGTCATTTGAACCTTACAAATCACACAGACGGGAGAAATGTTACAGCGGGCAAACATGACGGTTCAACTCCAATGGGGTCGACACTCGACAGTTCGCGCTTGATTCCCCAAATATACGTTGCAGCGGTACTGAGGTCGGGGAAACGATTCAATGAACCTGTAACTCTACAGCTGTGAGGTAACAATTGACACTGAATTTATTTAACCATGAAAACCGATAGACCAGGAGACTCTTCCCAAATGTACCGAAAAAGAACTCACCTCATAGTCACTCCTGCGGTTCTTTGAGTCCTCCATTGAACACACTACCGCGTCTTGAATGAAGACTAGAGACTCATTCGGTCAATGTTCCTTTAGGAAATGATTTAGCATCGTATAACACAGAACACATGACCATTGACGGACATCCTACCACATCAACCGTCTATCGGGCTTATCCTCCAAAGTGCGACCAAAACGCTTAATGAAATAACGTTCCCTCACTGCCTCAACAGGTAGTGCGTTCTTTAGCCTTGGCCAGTGCAGTTCATGGTATGCTGCACACAAATGACCCATTCACGCCCTCTCCAACCCCCATCTATAACGTCACATTTTGACCCCGGCATGACTCTATTTCCCGTCGAGTCACGCGGGAGGCGTTACCAAACGTACAGTCATCGACAGGCGAGAGGAAGAGGGAGGGGAGGTCGCTTGAAGCCAATGGATAGGTGTGTGTGGCGGGGGAAGGGACGGAGGGAGGAGAGGCTTCATGGCCAGAGTCCTGTCAGAGCGAGCAAAAGGAGAGTCGAGAGAGACCAGAGCTGGAGGCTGGTAAGTTAGAACGAATTCATGTGTTCATGAATTCGCAACGAGGTAAGAAATAATTGCAAAAATAGTAGGGTAAGGTGCCTAATTAGCGACCCCCTTAATTTGAGCCGTCATTGCTCACGCTCTGTGGGTGCCACTGTATTACTGGCTTGATTTTCGGAGAGGTCGTTCATTTTTCTATTAAAATATAGTCATTTTCTGCCCCAATATTCACTAACTTATTTGTAGTGAGCATTTTGGCAAACCATTGCAAAAAACGCTAATAGGGAACTCTTCCCGATTAGCGACCGGGGAGGGTCGCTAATAAGTCTATGGGTTTCCCCATATTAAAAATGACAAAAAAATGCGACGCCTGAAAAGATGAAATATGATCTCAAAAAGGTAACCTATACGCAAAGCACTCAATCACTCGAACAGGAACGTTTATCCAACACATTTACGTCGTAAAAACTGATCATGTGATGCACTGAATGCGAAAAGAAGGCGGAAATCCAAATTTTGCGGGCTATCTCGTATGATATTCGAGGTCCGCGCTGAATTCGGCACCCCTGCAGTCGGTGACAACATTTGACATCCCCTGCCACACATTGCAAGCTTCAGCAACACCTCATTTTCATTTCTCACTTTTCCCCTTTCTTTCCCTTCTTGAGCTATTTGCGACCATTTCAGGCGCAAATAGGAAATATGAGTTGCGACACATTTTTAACCGCCATGCTGTACACAGTTAAGCGATTCACTATGGGAAAACGGCAATCAATTGAAAAAGGAATGTCGATTCAGAATATTAAAGGTGCATCATCCTAATGTGCATCGCTTTTCATCAGAGAGGGCCCAAACACACACGTTTTGGATAAGAAACTCGTCATTTTTATTTAAACTCACCTGAAACGTCCCACCAGAAACATCGACAACCGTAAAATAATTCAATTTGATAACTAAAGTATGGCTGACCTTTTGACGATGTTTTTACCCACTTTTCTCCTGCCAGTTTTTCTGTAAGGAGGTAGGTCGCAAATCGGAAAGGGTCGCTAATTAGGCATCTTACCCTACATTTTAAGGCAGGTGAAGTAATGCACCATGAAGTATTGTATGCATGTTATGTAATAAATACGCATGAATTATTGGCAACAAATAAGCATGGTTTGATATTTCCTCGCAGCACGTTTGAACTTTGAACCTATACGATCATGCACATATACTACCTACCTTTTAAAGGGACCCTCCCACCTTAACATTAGATTTGAGTTGAGATAGCCAAAATGGGGTCCCTGGCTCACAATTACCGGTTTCGGCACTCACAACAACGAGAAATGCCTTAAATCGGAAATATTGAATTTCAAAATTGCAGCATTTTGATTCAGAGGGGCTAATGCTTAGGAATACCCCTCTGAATGTGTGACGTCAGCGCTGATATCTAACGATTTTTAAATGTTTGACTAAAACGTTTTGTAGCACGCGGTGGTATATGCTATTTGCGCGCAACATCTGCCGCAAACGCCGCACTTCTAAAATAAAGTCGCTAGAAACAGCGGAGATCCCAAAAAAGTAAACAAAAGTAAAAGTCTAATATCTTGAAAACCGGTGAATATTTTTCGGTGAAATTTGGTAGATATTCGTTTTTGCTCTTTCTGAACCGAGCGACATCACTTTCATGCCTTTTCATAAACTTTTTTGAAGGTGGGAGGGTCCCTTTAATACCTAAATTGCATGGAAATTGAAATAAAGGCGCGCTAAAAAAAACGTATCGTCACTCTGGTACGATCAATCACGCACTCCTTCACTTCATCTACATTACGTAGATGTAGGACCTAAATAAACAATAAACTGCGTCAAGTTTGCCGCTTACCCCTGTCTCCTTCTCCTTCCACTCTCTCTAAGCCACCCCGAAAGTCCAATAAACCAGCTGAGGCGTTGTTTGTTTCCTCTCTCTCTCTCTCTCTCAGACGGACCACCAGCGGCGTCTAACATTGACGAAGTGAGAAGTGGTGCGTTATATCCCAGAACTGTTCACGATGACGTCATTAGAACTGGAACAGCGCCGTGGTGATGCCAGAGGATCTGGATGTCGCCAGCAGCAACATGGTCAACGAACATTTTCAACGTGTTAGTCAGAAGTTGGCGACAGACGTACCCTTCCGGCGGGCTTCCGGCGCCTCTCTATGTCACTTGATATTGATATTGATGCCATGCTAGGTAGTAGGTACATACCCTCTCACTGATATCTATTTGCTCGAAGCCAGCATTATTTAGCTAGTTCACTTGACGATCAAAATTATCAGACACATATCAGTAATATATCACTGCACACACCTATCTATGTATGACTTCAAAATTGACCAACCAGAAGAGCCGCTGCGAAGAGCCGTACCGGAAGACGCTGCATTCCACCTGTCCATTATAAGCATTAGGCAAACAGTGTTCAGGGGTAACTATGCAAGTTTGCCGTATAGTGTGCTCACTCTTTATCCTTATATCTATATAAGAACTTAATTCATTTGAACTACATCAAGTATACATCACTTCAGAATATGCAGCACGTAATTATGTATACACACCCCAATGAATATAGCAAAAAAAAGTATCCCGTAATGTCCCGAGGCACCAGGAAACACTTGCAACGCACGCTTCCTGTGTTGCTGAAACACGGGACAGTGGACAGTGGACACAGTATTGATAATATACTTATGTACATAGGTACTTACAAAGCTGGTCACGAGACCGGCATGCATACCTATGGCACGATACACATTGCACATGGTCGGCCCAGTATGCACGATCGATAGTTATTAACGGAACCCAGCTCAGGTCAGCCCCTGGCAACTCGATGCATGCAGTATATGCGCGGTCGCCGCAGGCTGCGTTCTTTGTCCTACTGGCTGTTTTTATACCGGTAAAAACGGGCAGATTAGAGCAAAAAGGCAGCGGCTCGAGCCAGAAAATGATGCCAGGACTGAGGACCTAGCAAGAAGTGACTCACAAAAACGTCACTTTTTGCGTCACTGGACGGTACGTACTGAAAATATAATGGAGGTCGGGATTGTCAGAAAGTCAGGCTTCCTCTGTTATTTGCCAGCGCCAGCAATGTGACCTACTAACCCGCTAATAGGATACCACGGCATATACATTATACATGTAACTATACATTTCAAACGTTCATACGGTACCATTCGAAGAATACGATAGGTATGTTATGCAGCTTCAAAGCAGGATCTATGAACTAATGGTGCAGTAATGTAACACTAAACCACCCTCCCTGTCTCAGATTCTGGGCTCACATTGCCAATTCCGCCTCTCCTTACAATTCAGCACGTGACAAGGCATCCATTGGCGGTCAGTAGGTAACAATACACAGGCCTATGCGACGCGCCATATGCCTGCTTCTGTTCAGGATACAGAGGTCTATGCAACCCACGCTTGCGCACTGCTTCGCACTACTGACTTTTTTGTAGCAGCTGCTGTCGTTTCAACAAAGACCTATACGCAGCCAATAGTGTACAGAGTAAACAGCCTTCAAACCATTCGTTTGAGTTCATTATTTTCCCAATCAACAACAAACGCTTCCAGCTAGGTCAATATGGATACATGTTACACAGGGCGGCGTATTTCCGCTGAATTGAGATCACTGATACAAAGTAGATATGCAAGTAGACCATTACCCGAGGGCCGAAACATGCACAATTAAGCATTCATTATTAAAACATGCACTAAAACATGAACATGCATTATAATATATACGATTAAGGTTCGGCAGTACGTGGAACGTGATGGCGTGACCTGGACAAACATGGTTGTTATCAGCCCCCACGTGGCAAACTAACCACGTGGCAAAGAGTCCTCGGTTATAGGGCCTGCGACGCTTGGAGGGCTATACTGCATGTGATACCCTGTGACGCTGTGAAAGACTCTCTGACTCTTCTGGATAACCAAGCCCCATATTCCATAAGATCACCGCAAGTTGGATATTGGGCACCTGGGACAAGGCATCTGCCTGCACCTGCCAAGCAAAAAGTGGGGTACCGATATTGCGCGATTAGGCGTGGAAACCGTTTTCACATATATCCCCATTGACACGAGAGAAATCAGGTAAGGAAGACACTAAAGTAGTATTCTATGACCGTGGTGGTTGATAGGATGAACAACAGTTAGCCGGGAATATATGAAAGACAAAGCATAACTTCAGGACTGTGACCGGCAGGATGCAATCACGCACACTGACACTGATACTGAAAATGGATCTAACTACGCAGTATTCGCCTTAAATGCACTGAGCTTCATAGGAGCACTAAGCACTTATAGGCACGCAATATCGCACCCGCGTCCGACAATACAGCTCTGTATAGGGAACAGTGCACTGTTTTGTAACGGGAAACACACGTGACACAAACTAGTTTCTGCACGCGAGTTCCCTGTTGCTCGATTACAACGGCCTCCCTGTGATTCAAAGCCAGGCGTTGATGAGTCACAAGGGACTGGGTAGAGTCATCGGACGTAAAAGAAAGTTACTTTATGCATAGATACTGAAAGACAAGACACTTTAAATCTAGGTAGGATGAAATCATGTTTCCATTATTGACCTATCACTCTACACATTTCCCTGATGGACATGACTAGATTAAAGTTAACATTTCAGTAACTTAACATTAACTTAACATTAAGTAACTCAACATTTCAGTAACTGTATGACCTCCGTAATCGATGTACCCGAACACTATAAACCTTCATTGTGCATAACGAGTAGGACCGTTTAATGAAGTTGACCCGCCCTGACCAAATAATATGCAGGTAAGTAAGCGTAACCGTCAGTAAATATAAATGGCACCTATATCACTTTTGATATCCCGCATAGGTACGTGTAAGTAGAATAACTATATACACACAGGGCCGAGGATTTGACCCACCATCCAGGGGACAGGATAATCCACTTTGCCAACTAGGTCGCCGGAACGCCGCCCCCTGCAAGAAACCATGCAAAACTGTCAGTAAAAGCAGGCAAGCGTTGAATGGGATTCACCAGAGTAGGCTGCACCAACAGCCACTAACATGCACTGCAGCCCCCCTCCACCCCCGCCCCCCCCCCCCCGCCCTCAGCCTCCACCACAGCACAGCACAGCACACTGCCCAAGGTTAAGGTCATTCTCATCATCACTCAGACACGGCCGGGGGAAGGGGTGCCGGGGGCGGAATCATGCACATTGCACTGGCTTCCCATCCGCCGGAGCCTGAAGGTCGCGGTTAGAGCCGGTGCCAGGAACCAGGGCTGAGACGCCGCCATGCCAGACGCCAGACCGTCTCAATGAAAGTGAACACATGCTTGGGCCTTGAGGATATGAATGTTTTAAAGTTTTTGGAAGCTTATAAGTAGATCAGTATCATAAAATATCAGATGTTGTATGGCACAATCAGGCCTTAGAGAAAGAGAAAAACAGAAGTTAGTTGAAAATACAAAGCGTGGGGTCCACTGTCCAGCCTCCAGGCCATATAGGAAAATATTGACCGAGATGCCCGACGAAAGAGATTCGGTATGCAGCATGCTACCAACACTGTGTGTCGTAATCAGTAATACTGTCAGCTCTGCTCTTCGACTGCTCTTCAAAGCACATGTGAACATAAACTCCGCTGCACTAGACTAGACTAAGGACAGCCGTGCGTGATCTTGTCCAACTAATGTGCAGCGGCAAACGCATAAAAATCTCAATCGTCAACGCAATCGTGCACCTTCTTTAACTAGACATTTTATACAAACCGTGAAGTACCTACTTTACCTGGCTTCTGGCCCACTTTAGGTACTATGTAGCTATATGTAACGATTAGATGACCACTGGCTCGTTTAGGAAGCGGACAGCAGCAAAGGTTATGAACAAAACCAATGAAAAGCTTTGCTTACAGCCGGCTCTCAGTAGCCGTGAGGCTAAACCGCTAACTCCCACGCAAGTTTCAGCCTTTCCCCCAGGAGCATCATCCACTACCAATTGCTATAACCCGTCTAGAAAACGAATTTGCTGTATTATTCACTCTAGATCACCATAACCATTTTGCACACGTTCTTGGCACGATTTATTAGAAGACAGGATTGAAAACGGAGCTGAAATATGAAGCACTTGTACCAAACATTGAAAATTTTCATCATTTTGTACGGCGCATTCGCCTTGGATGAAAGATATGCTAGAAATGAAAGCCACGAAAGTTGTGAGTTCGTAGCAAATGATCTTCAGCGCACATACTCGGATCTTATATATATAAAAAAAAAACGAAGCAATCAGGCTCAGCTCACAATCTGGTAATCATCTATCAAGGCTATAAGCAAATAGCATCACAAACATGGTGATTACTGATTTTTGGGGACTGACAACAGCATAAAAGACCTCGAAAAAGCCAAAGGGACATTTCAAAATGGGTACCTTACAATGTGCATGATCACTGGGTTAACCTGTGTTCGTGTTGTACTTCTACACCACAAGTGACATTACAACTTGAATACTGGACAGTGGTGCGCACTTGCAGACAACAGCCGCTCAACATTGGACGCTATCACGCAATTCCCAGGGGGTTCACAGTTCATACACCAACCATGCAAGTGGAGTAACTAGTTTAGACACTTGAATCATGTTGTAACACATTGGATGAAATGTAACAACATCGAACATTTTTAAAGCAGCCAACATCAGAACGTTTTTTTTTTTCAAAAAGTATTGTCAGAAGTTATTGTCGGCTTCATTTGAACCTAATTGTATTGTGAACACTGTTGTGTTTATCATGTCATTTTATGACGACAGCCTTCACTTTGATTTTTGCGCTTCTCACCATGTTTGTGAATGTGATGTTAGTGGCCGTTCACGAGCTTACCGTTTCAAATCTGCCACAGCTCCCCCGCCTTCAGTCCGCTTTCACTCGCCTATTTTTCTTTCCCAAGACCTTCATCATATCCTTCGACATGTAGTAGGGCCTCTCCTCGGACCCATCATTTCTTTCCAAGTCTTCCAGGAAGCAGAGAAATAGCGTGTCCACTGCCATGTTGTAAACGCTGAAGAACAGACTGCTGATGAAGAAACAGCCGACGGCGATCGTGACCACGGGCAACCAGCTGTAGTGCGTC